ATAAATATGTAAGTGATCCACTCATTGCTTCAGGGGAGGCAGTTCAATATCTAAGTACGTGGGGGGGCTGCTGTGTGGTACAATTCCCACTGTTTCTCCTGACACACCTGGAGAGCAGTCCTCAGGGCAGCTCCTTGTGACCAGTGTGCTGGAGAGCACAAGAGATCCCACAAGAGATCTGGTGTTCCACACCAGAACTACTACTTCTAACCCCCCCACAAATATGCTTTAAAGAGCATTTAAGTATTTCTCTGGGGTGGGTTGACCACGGCTAGCTGCCAAATGCTTGCCTACTCACTCTCTAACTCACCCTCCTCAGCAAAGCAGGGGAGAAAACACGGTGAAGATACTGATGGGTGAAGATAAAAACACTGACACAGATAGGGAGTTCCCCTACCAATTGCCATCTCAGGCACAACAGATACAACTTGGGGAAAACTCATGTTATTTCTTACCAGTGAAATGAGATTCGGGTGGCTAGAAACGAAAGTCAATTACTCTCTTACCCTTTTTCCCCCAGCTCGTGTCTCTCCTTCACTCCCAGCTCCTGCGCCTCTCCTGGCAGCGCTCTGTCCCACTCACCTCCCGTGGCTGAGGGGCCGGGTAAGGCGCCTCACGCCTCCTAAAGGCAGAACAAGGACTAAAGCACATGCCTGCCGTCTCCATATGCTCTCCTGGGCCTGTGATCAAGTCCCGTTACTTTCAGAGTAATTATGAAAAAGCATCCCCGGCATGGATCGGTGACACAATCCCCTTTGGGACATCAAGGGCAAAACCAGCCACCGGCTTGGTGCACAAGAGGCCAAGCTGCCATCAGCTGGCTCCTTCCCACACTCACTGCCTCCTATAGTCAGGTGCTTTCATTTTGTCTATTTTCTTCCCATTTCTTCTCTCTCTGCTTAAACAAACCTGGTTATAATCACAACTGAACAAAAACCCTCTTAAGGCCTTCTTTATTAACCACAAAAAGAGTGGTGGTACCATGCCTACACAAATGGCAGGGCAGAAAGTGGGTGTTTAAAGTACTGGAAGCAGAGGGCGAGTCTTCACAAGTATGTTTACACATAAACACTCATTTTATGGTCACTAACTTTGTATTCTTAAGTAATTTTCTTTCATCTTTTACCCTTTCCCCGGTCATTAAGTGGCTTCACTAGAGTTTCTTCAAGGTTTTCATGCATTTTCCTGTACTTTCTTTTTCCCTTCTCTCCTCTGTTCTAACAGGCTTTGGGCAAACATGATCTTTAGCTTGCTCCACCACTAAGCTGGTCCCAGAAACCTGAAGGTGTTGTGAATTCATGTTGTAAATATTGGCTTTTTACAATTATTCTGATAAATATATTATATGCTTTCACTATATTCTTTTCTCTTAGCAAGTTATAGGCTTAGATAGGAATTCTGAATGGTAAGGATATGTCTCATCTGGAGAAGGCAAGATAACTCCAACAGGCAAGACCATGGGAGGATCAAGCTGTGGAAAACAGGCTATTATCAGCAGCAGGAAATGGAGAGCAAACTGTTACCAAAAAGCCGGTACCAGGACGTTGGCAAGGGGGAAAGATATGAAGCCCATCTGCTCTCTGAGGAAGTATAAGGGGCCTGGACTCTTATCAACAAGTGACCATCTGCAGCAGAAAGGAAACCAAACTCCAAAATAATACTGACCAGCTAGAATAACGATAACCAGCAAAAATTATGCTGACCAGCAGAAAATAACATGATCCAAGAAGGTGGAACCAGGGAGGGGACATGCTTGAATATGCATTAACCTCTCACAGCAAAGATGGGATAAAAAGGACACTCCTGAGATACCAGGTGTGTTCCTGGTAACCCACCAGGGCACCCGGCCGTTTTAACCCTTTGCTTTATTTCTTTTGTCTCCTAATTGTCTTTTGTTTATATTAAATTCTTTTTATAATTTATTAAGTGAATCTCGTTTTTAAGAAAGGCAAAGACCTCACGTGGACAAGAGCAGTGAGCACCAGCATATACACCTCAGCACCAAAGCTTCATGAAACCAGGCAGCAGTTCTCTGGGAGGGAAAGGGGGCCACACACTGTAAACAAGCAAGATTAAAAACACCAGTCCAGCTGTCACACACATCATCCAACAGACAAAGCCTGCAACAGAGAAGAAACCTGGGTGAGGCAGAGCAGGGGTTCCCTTCTCAAAGCAGTAAACCAGAACTCAAAGCTGAATCCCGTTTGGAAACTTTGCTTTTTCTCCCCATTCCATCGCACAATCCTTTCACAATTTTTCACTGGAATTAATGCAATTAGGGTATAGTGCAAAGCAGACCAAATGCACACTTTGGAAGAGTTATTAATTGTAACCACAAGTAACTCCGGCCTGGGGAATGTGCTTGTCTGTGGAGTTTTAAGCAGAGAAAAACCCTCCACACAAAAACCATCTAAATCCTGCTACACACACTGATGCACGTGTATTAAGATAAATGGAAAACCTTAATGTTGTTAGCACCTAAAACTAATAAACTACCTGAATGCAAATAGCCATCTTTACATCTCAGTGGGGTACTATGAAGGGTCATGGCTCACACTCAGGCTGGGGAGAAGCCCTCATCCACATTACTGACAGAGAAGCCAAAATCATCAGGCTCTTTTTTCAAAGCCAGCCAGATCTCCCCTCAGCTGTCCCAAAGCCAGAGTTCACACTTGCAGTTCCATTGAAAGTCTATGCACTTCAATAGCTTTGAACAAAGCCTTCACGTTATAGTTCCATATTAATAAACACAACAAGAAAGCCCACCTTTCTGCCTTTTGGTGCTTTCCCCAAACTCCCTCAAATTACCTGAAGCTTTTTGGTAACAAATGCAAGATGAAGAGACTATCAACCACTCAGCAGCAGTCTAAAGACACAAACACATTAGTTAATGGGCTGTTCAAAATCTGCAATGGGCAATTAAAAACAGAGAAAACACCATCCTAGTCATGGCACATCATCCCATCTTAATCCCATCAAGGCATAGGCAAACAACTCTCCATAGCTACTCCTAGCCCCACCGTTTTCTTCAAAGTCAGAAAAGCCAGGTGAGTTTTTCCCAAGCCCCCTTGAACCAAAAAGCTAACACGGCTTAGGGCACAAATTGATTGATTAACTTTCAAGAGCCCTGAAGCAAAAAACAGATACTTACTCAGTATTTTTTTTCTCTTTTAAACTTGTTAGAGACAAGTATAAAAACTGCCTGAAAGGCACATGATAAAACTTCATTTTCATTCTCTCTTATTTCATTGTAATTTACTACTTACAGAAGACAGAGTAAAAAAGGTTCAACTTTTTAGCGCCACTTCCAGGCTCTCATGTTAAGAATAATATGTTACAGTTGCTGTTTGTAAACTCCTTACTTACCTTGTACCCCGGTCCCAGGATATTGTTAAGAATAATACGTTCCAGTTGCTGTTTGTAAACCCCTTACTTACTTTGTAAACCCCTGTCCCAGGTTTACTTACCCTTGTACCCCTGTCGCAAATTGCTGTACCCCATATTTTTGTTCCTTGTTCAGCCAGGCCCTGCCCCCTCTCCCAAGTTGCTGTACCCTGCGTTTCTTGTTCTGTGTTCAGCCAGGCACTGCCCCCACTGCTCCTAGACTCCCACATGGCAACATTGTATCCCTTTCCCAAGTGGCTGTACCGCTCTGAGGAGGAAGATGACATACTGACTTTTATGCAAACGAGAGAGACCAGAGACTTATGGGATGCACCCAGACTGGAAAAGACCCCGAAACAACGAGCCACGCAAAAGGGAAGGAATAGAACCAGCACCATCTAACAAGGAAGACCCAGAGGAGTCCCCTGACTTCTTTCCAGAGGCCGACATAACCTCGAGGAGACTCGACTGGGATGACAGCCTAGACTACGAGCCTGAAAGAACGAGTCTTCCCGGGGACTCCCATGAGGAAGGAAGGCCGAGCTCTGTCCTAGTGACAGAGCTGCACGGATCCTCCTCTTCTGCGGTGTCCAGTGGGAGCAGTGGTGGTGTGCGCGACCCCTCGGGACCCCACCCCAGAGCTGTGCTGCTTAATAAAGGCCTTTTTAAAAGGAGCTGGTCTCCTGTCCCGTTTATCACATCTCAGAACAGAGATTATTCCTCTACTGACTACCAGGAACAAAGGACAGGAGCCCAGCACAGCCAGGGGCAAGAGCAAAGCCTGCTCCACACAAGGGCCACCTCTAGATTATGCACAAGATAGGATGAAAGGCTTTTCTCCCCTGACAAGAGATCTTTAAGGCTGGCACTCACCCAGCACAGCCACACTACTCCTCACGGCTGTATTTGACAGCCCAGAATGACTGTCCTTAACAGAACAGGAAAACTCAAGGCAAAATTCCACCTCAGTGCAGGACAGGAAAATTAAAAACAGTTCGCTTCACACAATGCGCTCCTAGTTTACAGAAACCCATGGCAGTTACAAAGCTATTACAGTTTTAATACTGCTATTTAGTAGTGCTTTCTGGCACTAGATGTCTGCATAAGCTGCCATTAGAGAAGGAACTGTTTGTTTTCCCACTTGGGTGTACACCTCAGCACACAAAAACAAGAAAAAACGCCTTTGTCAGTATAAAATAAACTACCAATTGAAAAAGAACCATTAAAATTATTTAAATATATTAACTAATGCTCATTTAATTTCACTAATAATGATTAAACTAACACTCGCTGATGACTAAGGAGCAAAGAACATGATTTCTTACCTGAATTACCTAGTATTACGATGCATTTCTAGCTTGCCTGATACTACTGCAGTATTTCCGACTGGATGGTCATGAAACTGAATGCCAAGGGAAGAAGGACTTAACATGCTTCATTTTTTTCATCTGTGTAGCCTTGACACATGTGAAGCAGCCTCTGAGCAGCAGGCCTCCCAATTGTAGGCCCCAGCCACCATCTTGTGGGTGCCCAGGCCGCCGGCCGCCATCTTGTGCCTCACCCTTCCTCTATGTTCTGGGCCGCGGGCCCCGGCCGCCACTGCCTCATGGGTTCCCGGCCCCACCGCACGCTGAGGGCCCGACCCGGGGCGGCCGCCTCCCGCTCTTTGTGACACAGAGGGGAAAGAGAAGGGACCTGTTGAAACTCATTCACCTCCCTTACTCGGTGCAGCGATTCCACTCTGCTTTAGAGCACTGGCTTCAAGGGGAGGAGGTCTCTCCGCATCCGCTGGCAATGGCTGAAAGTCAGCAGCTAGCACTGCACAGGCAGCTCTCTCTCTCAGGGAAAAGCAGCGAGCCTGCCATGAAAGCCAGGCTCACACACGGTGCCCAGCGCCTCTGTGAGCTCCGTGCCCCGGGACGCGCCCCTTCCCTCGCCCTCACCGAGCTCTCCCGCGCCGCTGCTCCTGAGGGCCGCCCGAACACCTGCAGCTCCCGACAAACACTGATCCCACAGTGTCAAAACCCAGAGGAATGGAAACAGCAAAGAACCACCAGCTTTTGCCAATCCACGCAAGACTTAGACCATTAAGCTTAAAAACACAGCAAGCTGTGAGTATTTATGTATCAATGTGTAAGAATAAGGCAGTTTCTTACTAAGAGCAGACCTACAAAATCATACAAAACATTTTGAATGCCACATCTATCTTGCATGCTGCATACCATAAAGCCACTGTGTGTAATTATACATAATTAGTTGCATGTTTGTAAACTCAATAGCTTAATCATGTTTAATTAACGACACTGTAATAGGAACATTTGATAGTTAAATGTTGTCTTGCTAAACTGATGAACACCTGGAACACACAATTAGTCTCAACACCAATAAATTAACTAAAATCTGTCGTTAGTAATTCTTTTCCTTTCTTCCTGATAGAACACTAGGATTAGCGATAACAAATAATAGTAAATAGCCAAACCATACCCTCAGCAGTTTGTTAAGAGCACAACTGCAGGAGCCCTCCTGCTGACACTTTGATACATTCCTCAGCAGGCATGACTAACTGTTGCATAAGTCATTGGTTTTCCTTTGTTTTCTATTTCCAAACCAAGTTGTTACCTGTGGTTGGGTGCTTTTGGGTTTTATTTGTTTGGGGGTTTGTTTATTTGGGTTTTTGGTGGTTTGTTTTGGGTTTTTTGTGTGTGTTTTGTTGTTGTTGGGGAGGACAGAGGGGAATGCCCTGGTAGTTTTTCAGAATTACCAGATCATCTCCAGGTGATGAGCAGGGAGAAAGAGTAATTCTCTCACTTTGACCCCACGCCGAGGCCATGGCTGCTGGTTTATCAGCACAAGTGAAAAGTGCACACATGCTGAGGGACTAACTTCACACAGGCACTTTGAGCTATCTGCTTACCTATATCACAGCACACAGACAGATACAACAGTGAGAGGCCTTGGAAAAGTGACCACTCAGAAAAATAACTGGTACATTTTCAGAAAATGAGAAACCAGACAATACAAAATACATAGCATTAACTGCAGGGTGTATCTGTAGGTCAAGCACTCCTATTCACTATCATTATTCCCATCATTGACATCTGCTGTGGAACCAAGAGGTAGCCAATCTAAAAGGATATAAAGGAAACGAACACAATGCAATGACAGACTGCTGAACTGTCATACCACAGCCTTGAAATCATGGGATCAGGCAGCCTTAAAAAAGGACTAGGTATCTGTACAAACAATACTGTTGTAAGGCTTTCCAAAAATGGTTTGAAACAGATGACACAACTCTGGAGTTGCAGCAGAAGGCTGGGAGAAGGAGCTAAGTATAAATAACATCACTGCTGCCGGGCTCCTTGCAGCAGCATTTAGAGCTAGCTCTCACTGAACGTTGACACCAGCACTCACAAACCTGACCAATCACGAGATACATAATGGTGAAAAGAAAGAAATTTCCTTCAAGTAGGTATAAATGGAACAGCTTCATTTTGTGTACAGATCCTAATTTCCTTAGGTGAGCCAGAAATAGAAACCACAGTCCCTTCCTCTTCCTTCACACACTGGTATGCAGGAATGAGAATTCAATCATACATCACTATGGATAGGATAGTAATGAATAAAGGTGCAGGGAGGTAGAAAATCAGGTGAGTGAGGCCGTGACAAAGACAGGTGCTGTTGCAAATGCAGAATCCCTTTGAGTTTTAAGAAACCTGCATACTCACCAGTTTTTCCCAGAGCCTTTCAGCATAATGTTGGCAGTACTGCTTCCTGGCAGACAAACAGCAGTAGAGGAATTTTCAGCCTGAGTGACTGAAGTTGCTGGAAAAGTTACTTGGAGTCAGCCAGTCTATTCAGCCTTCTCGTTAACAGCATCACAAGGTTGCTATTCCCTGCCTAAGCATTGTTTCACACACTGCTTTCCAAGATAAAAAACCATAAGCTATACATTTTCAGGAGTCTGAACACTGTAGGAACCTACCCCTTGTCAAACTGGACCAGGCAGAGCCATACTGTGCTTTCTAAAGCTACCAAAATAGCTGCAACATCTTTGTCTTCTGGTTTATTCACCCCAACACCACCTGGTTCCCTAAAGCAGGAGACTACTCAGGGTGTAGCAAGTATAGAAAGGACTGTCATTGTTCAATATAAAAGTTGAAAGGAGCCTGGCATAATTCAGGATCATAACACAGGTATGCAGGAGTTGGAAACAGCTTGATTTCCAAATCTCCTCTGCTACTTTTCAGCCCCACCCTTTTTCTTTCACAAACATCTGCAGCTGCTGTGATGGTCTGGTCTTGGTGAAAAGGAAGAGTGCAACTACAAGATCCTCCCAGATTTACATACAGTTGGCCCGTAGCAGTACATCTGCCCACTGTTTTCAGATTTAACTCTTAATGAAAGGATTGCATCTCCCAAAACCATCTCTAGGAAGTTTTACATCTCCTGTACAAAGTGATGCAACAAAAAATAACCTTCCCAGGGAACTGCTGGTAACTCGCTGCATGAAAAGATTAGATCTCTTGCATGCTGTAATACATGATAGTTATACAAAAATACAAAAAACTGAATGGCAGAACTAGCTGGTTACAGATGGTAGTGTGGAAAGTCTGCCTGCTCCTTTCTATACTGCTTAGCTGCAAGAGCATTGGACAACCGAGCAAAGGATGATTTGTACTTCACTCAGATTTAAAAGGATAAAGGCTCAATATGAATCCATAGCCTTCACTTCAAGCAATAACCAAGTGCTCCAATAAAGGAAGAAACAGCTCTCATGAAACATTAAATGAGATAATGAAAAAGATCCCCGAGATGAGCTTGACATGAATATTGGGCAATATTTGCTTTCCAGAAAAAGGACCTCAAGCTCTGCCTTTATACCTGAGCTGTTTCTGACCAAGGTGTGGTGGGGTGTATTTACTGGCTGATGACAAAAAACCAGCAGAGGCTATTTGCCAGCTGGGACATGGCAGATTCAGCTGAAACCTTACTGCTCCTGCATGCTGAGTGAGTCACCAGGAGGGCTGTGGGATGACAGACTGTGAGACAAAACAAAATATGCCTTGAGCTGCAGGAACAATGGAAACTGGGGCTTTAGCAAACCTAACCAAGAGTTAAAGGATAAATACTGACCAAAAACAGACAAATGACATTAAAAAGTAGGTAGCATAAATGAATGTTGAAGTTGCACCTCTGCTCAGCGCCCAAGTCAGAAAAAAAACAGCCCAGCACACTTAAGGGAAAAGGACAGCAGTATTAGAGATGAAACACAGAAAGTGAAAAAAGCTGGAATCGGTTCTGACTTCCTTTCTGGACAATCTGTGAGCACCACAGATGTATTTAAGTGCAGCCTGGGTTTGGCTTTTTTTTTAATAACTTCAGATTTGCAGCTGAAACATAAAATCCAGAAAGCAACATAATTTTCACAAATGCTGAAACAAAGACTTCAAAACAGTTTTAAAACAAATTAGGAAAGAAAGGCAATTTCACAACGAAGTACTGAAACACTGATGACACTGATTTCTACCACAGAAACAGATGAACAGGGCAGATGCAACATTAAAATCAAATTTGCACACACAAATGAAGCATGGGAAAAGAGCAAGAAGTGATACTTAAGGATGGAGACTATGATCTAATACACATAATTAAGCCATGTGAATTAATTCAGCTCCCTTTGTTCTTTTTACAGAGAAAAGGAAACAATAGATAGATAATGGTCCCACACTTAGTGAAGAACTTATTAGGGCATTCCCCATCCTTCCCACCACAGTGCCTTGTCTTCATTAAACCCAGGGAAGAAGAAGTGGCTCTACATGAAGCATTTCCTATTCTACAAAGTTAAAGCTTTAAGGGAAGATACATACTCTAAAAAACTTATTTAACCGAAAATGGCTCTTCTGATTTTCTGGGACAGTTATGAATGACACACAGATGTTTTTTAACTTCAGGACCTTTTAAAATTCAATGCACTGATGACATTACTTCAACTGAAAATATTTCTATTAACGCTGAAAATAATTTCCTTATTTCCTAACTGGAAAAATACTTCCCCCCCTTCCCCCAATAATATAATTTTATACAGCAATACCAAAGTACAGCAAGGATATTTAATGTTAAATAAGTTGTTAAATTGAATATAAATCTTAAGAAACAAAAAACGGAAGTCAATGTTTCTGTCTGTATTTTATTTTTTGAATTTTGGAGCTGAAGTACCAAACCAGCTTCCATACTGGCCTAGGCTCATAAAAATAACTCCAGGTACCATGAGTCATGCCAGGGCTGCTGGGAAGATCATTAACTTCTTTCAGGACACAGAGCTTTCTGGTCATCAATCCACCAAATTCACAAAGGTACCCCAGGCAAAGAATTCATTAATTCCAGATCAAATACAGCAGAAATCAGCATGTGCAAAATACAAATTGTATTTGTTTCCCATTTTTCAGATACTGTTGATTTAAAGGAAGAGGGAAAATGCACTGATGCAGTGCAGGAGGGAGAAATACACTCCCACCATATAATGGTATCTTTACGAGCCTTCTGTTCCACAGTCTTGTCTCTGCTTTGGGAATACAACTTCATACCATTCTATTTCTTATTAAACTTTATTTCCTGTAATAAAAAAATTGAAGCCTACAGTAACAAAACTTGGTCTTAACCACATCCCTGCTGACCCAATTATACCTTTGAAGAGGTGTAATAGTTACTAGGGTTATAAATGTTAATGCAACAGAAAACATTAATATTTAGTCAGGAAAAAATCTATCCCAAACTCAGTTCTAATCCTCATGAAACAATAAAGGCTCAGAAGATAAAAGCTTGCAGCACATTCTAGCGAGTGTCTGTCATCCAGCTTCACTGCTGAAGGTTAAGGAAATGTACATTACACACTACCTGAGAACAGGAAAGGCATCCTGGTTCTTCCAAGCCTGCAGACCTTGAGGAAACTAACAAATTGTCAGTCTGATGGATTTATTACAGGCCTGCAACCAGGTTGGGTGTGAAGGACTGAAGAGAGATTCTCACACTACATGTGTGAGTACTGTCTGAACTCTGCAACAAACAGATCCATTTTGCTCTCAGCTCGTGAATCTCACATTCATACACTACA